TTAGTTGAACGTTTAGCAATTTGAAATATTTTTCTAGTTTTTGTATCCTGGCATCATATTGGGAGAAACTCAAATGATGGTATGCTTCAAAGTGAAAAAGTAAATGCCTGACTAGTTGAACTAATAAACATCAAGAAACTTGGTTTCAACGCTTTGATATTGCTGCATGCTAGAATAGAATCTCTTTATATTCCCAAGGCTGCAACCCAGCTGTAATTTTTTGTAACTTATTACAGTGGTGTACAGCTGCTTTGCTTACAGTAGTATTGAAATGCCATCAATGACTAATTCAGCTTTTCAATATGAAGATATTAATTATTCAGTAGAGGATATAAAGAGGCACTGGCAGTTTTGAGTAAAAGGTATGCATCTTTCAAGGATGCTGCTATTTTTTATTATAACAATCTAGAGCTAATAAGAGACAAACAAGTTTTGAATGTTTATTTTAATACCACTATCTCCAAAGTCATTCTTTTTTTTTTTTTTTTTTTTCCTTTTCTCCTACTTCTTTTTCCACCCCGTTATAGGCTGATCTGTGTACAGGGCTGCAAGGTTTCCTTATCTTTCACAGTTTTGGAGGAGGCACTGGTTCAGGGTTCGCATCTCTGCTCATGGAAAGGCTCTCTGTTGACTATGGCAAAAAATCGAAACTAGAGTTTGCGATTTACCCAGCACCACAGGTTTCCACTGCCGTAGTGGAACCTTACAACTCAATTCTAACTACCCACACAACATTGGAGCATTCAGACTGTGCTTTCATGGTAGATAACGAAGCCATTTACGATATATGTCGTCGCAACCTTGACATCGAGCGTCCTACTTACACCAATTTAAACCGGCTAATTGGGCAAATCGTCTCGTCCATCACAGCCTCGCTGCGTTTTGATGGAGCCCTCAATGTAGATCTGACAGAGTTTCAGACTAACCTTGTTCCATATCCACGAATCCATTTTCCTCTGGCGACATATGCCCCTGTCATCTCTGCTGAAAAAGCATATCATGAGCAGTTATCAGTGGCTGAAATTACCAATGCTTGTTTTGAACCAGCCAACCAGATGGTAAAATGTGACCCTCGTCATGGCAAGTACATGGCCTGCTGTATGTTATATAGAGGTGATGTTGTTCCCAAAGATGTTAATGCAGCTATTGCTACTATCAAGACTAAACGAACCATTCAGTTTGTGGACTGGTGCCCAACTGGATTCAAGGTACTTACATGACTTAAAAATAACCTGATGTTTGAAATATTAGGAATTGCACAGTATTCGGAGGGAATAGTCACTCTACAATGTCATAATGTCCTTGCTACTGAGCTGCTTACATTTCAGATTACATTTTTAAGCATAAAATTAAGATAGTGCAACTGGAATGAAAATTCCATATCAAGTTAATGAATGAATGAAAGTCCTAGCTTTTATAGGGGTAGCCAGTACTGAGTATCTGAAAACAATTTACAAACGGGTGGCCACTGAAAAATTATGCCATATTTTTCTACTTTATAAGCCTTAAAAAAAAAAAACTTAGGTAATTATGTATGGAGGAAATGTAAATAACCCTCAAGCAACTGTAGAAACACTGTATTGAATCTGAGAAGTACTTCAGTGCAGTAACTTCCCAAACGCTTTTAGACACCTTACAACGACAGATGCTGTTAACTGCCAGATCTGTCTTCCAGTGACTGAAGTTCAGTGGGGCCTGGCTTCTATCACTGGGGCAAGCCTGGTGGTTTTTTGTTGGTTTTGTTTGGTTTTGGTTTTTTAACATAGGCTCCCATATGTAGACTTTTTACCAGATCACTGTCAGATTCTCCATCAAGGATTTTGTCCAGCCACTGTCCACACATTCAGGATTTGGAAAGACCAGATCTTTATGTTCTAATTAAGACTCCATTAAGCTCTCGCTTTCAATAATTTCTTGCATGGTCCTTCCAGGCTCATTTTTGCGGCTTACACATCATCATCTGTAGGGGGGGGAAAAAAAAAAAATCTATAATCAACCTATCTCACTTAACGCGGGCCCAGTTTCACTTGACCTTGCAATTAGGATTTCATTAACTGCTTTGATGAAGTGCAAACTAATGATAGGCTAGTTTATTTGTTCATAACCATGGTGATTTTTCATTGATTTCAGAAATAAGTGTTTAAGGCTTAGCTTTCATCACCAAAGTTTTTCTTTTCTTTTCTTTTCTTTTTTTTTTTTTGAAGGTGGGAATTAACTACCAACCTCCAACTGTGGTGCCAGGTGGTGACCTTGCAAAGGTGCAGCGAGCTGTGTGTATGCTGAGTAATACAACTGCTATTGCTGAAGCATGGGCTCGTCTTGACCATAAATTTGATCTCATGTATGCTAAGCGTGCCTTTGTACACTGGTATGTTGGCGAAGGAATGGAGGAAGGAGAATTTTCTGAGGCCCGGGAAGATCTGGCTGCCCTTGAAAAAGATTATGAAGAAGTTGGGGTAGATTCAGTGGAAGCAGAGGCTGAAGAAGGGGAAGAATATTAAGAAAACTGAAGTCTTTTTGAAAATGTATTTCAACAAAAAAAATTCAGAAGCCTGTTCTCTTGTTTGATTTTTTTCAAATAAAGCTTTAAAGGTTCTACCTACTGTTCTATACTCACTTAGCAAGGACCATTTGAAATGGTAGTTTTTGGTGGCATCCAGTCATACGCAAATCGTAAAAGAGATCAGGAAGTTGCATCCACCTTCCTGTGCTCCTCCCATGTTTTGTGACATACTCTGCCTTCATTTTGCTTTCTCCCAAGCAGGAAACTGCTTCTACTTCAAGTTGTTTCAGGACTAAAACATTTTTATTCCAGGCCTGTCTACGCAATACAGAGGAACCTGATCTTTCTTACGTTCTCCTGTTGAGGCTGGTTTCACAGAAGACCTCAGTAACGTTTTCCAAAGTGACTTAACCACCACTGAATAATGCTGTACACAAGTAATTAATTTACTTGACTGCAGTTGTGGCAGATGCCATTGCGCTTTTGAACTGAACTGGCACTTACTACCGATTACTTGCTAGCAACATAAAACCTGCCACTTTCAAAAGAAAAAATGGGACGCGTTAGGCACAAAAAAAGTGAATTTTCCAACCAGAAAGGTCCCGTGCATTTGATTTCCTTTAGATAAAAAGGAAAAATAAAAGATGAGCTCTACCATCTTTAAGAACACCATTGTCATTTTAAAAGTTCCTCCATTAGCCTATTAGAAATACTGGACAAATATTCTTTAATGGTATGTTCAATTTAACACAGTTCTATAGACAATTGGAAACAGTGAAATCATGGGACAATCAGCTCAAGCAAAGAGTGGTGACCCATTTGCTTAGAATTGTTTAGTTCTGAATCCTGAAAAGGAGGGGGAAAAAATTATTGTACATGTTTGTGAAACTACCAAGTGTGATTTATAGCTCTACGTATACTGAAGACATCCAGAGAGAAATCATTTTCAGAAGTACTCGTAACTAGTATTTGTGTAGCATCGTCCGCACGTGCAATCTGTGACGTTCTAAAGGAAGAATCACTGGTTTTAAAACCAAAGATGCCTTTGTTTTTGCATTTGGGATACTGAAAGATCCCAGACCACAGCAGCCTGTGCTTGGCCTGCTGCCACTTGCAGCAGCCGCTCCAAGCCCGAGCCCTGCTCCGAGTCACCTGCCTCATCCATCCCAGAGGGCTGGACTCTGGACGCGCACCGCTGTCCCACAACGTCCAACAACAACTCCTGATTTCCAAGGCGCGGTTCCCAGCCCAGCCTCCCTCCAGCTCAGCCTCCCGCTCAGGAGGGCTCGCTGTGCGGGAAGCTGCCAGCC